CTATTTTTAACTGTTTTAAATTCATTTTAAACTTCTTAAATCAATTGTTTTAATCATTTTCAATGTTTTTAAATTCCTTGTTTTATTGTTGTGATTATTTTTTTTCTTTTCTTTTATGTAAAGCACTTTGAATTACCATTGTGTATGAAATGTGCTATACAAATAAACTTGCCTTGCCTTGCCTTGCCTATTTAAACTATTTAAAATTTTAAAAAAGCTGTTAAAAGACACACAATCTGATTTGCTTCTGGGGTCAGGCAGGTTCTCACATTACAATTTTAACTTAATAATTAACAAAACAACAAGAAAATGATCAGATGTTCATAAAGAGCTAAAGTTGTTCATTGCTCATTGACAGTTCGCTTATATAAGCATCAACTTGGTTCATATTCATAGCATAACCATCTTTTGAAATCAAACTAATCTGTACATTTTCCAAACAAGATGAAATGTTTAGAGACTAAAACCATCACAGAATTCATAAAATCCATTGATAACACTTACTGATGTTTGTGCTGCCGTTTCTCCTCCAATATGATGTCACATCCTGGGTGATGTCATCAGTGAAAGGTTAAAGGTTAAAACATTTATTAAATGCGCATCCATAGACAAAGCTGTTTGCTTCATTGTGAACTAAAATGTTTTTTTTTTCAATTATTATTATCATTTTAGTCTGGCACTGAGGTTCTGGGTTTTAAAACAACCAATATTCAGGTTCAAGTACTTGCATTAATAAAATTAAATAATAGCACAATATCTTAGATGTAATATAGCTTAAAGTTCAAAATATCAGTATGGGTTTTTCAGTGACCAGTTCTTTTACGTTTGCATTTTGTTCCTGTTGAACATTTTGTTACAGGCTTGTACAGACCAGCCAGATGCAGACCAATGGACAGATTCAGGCTAACCATGACTGAAAGGTTTAAAGCCATATAGATGATCAAACATCCACAGGACATTTTGTGTTGATTTGTGTATGGATGACGCTCTCTAGAGTCTGTAATGTGAACAGTGTGACTTATTGAATCAGAGTTGAAATGATGTAAACACTCCATATTGTTTTTGATGGTAAAGGAATTATATTTGTTTGCGCAATGATTTTGAGACATTTGATTTTTGCACAATGCTGTATGTGACCAGAGGGGAACAATCGAAAAATAAAAGTGCTTTGATTTATTTGCAAATTAAAAATGTGCATATGATTGCAACTGTACTGTGATATTTAAATAGCATTCTCTACACTTGAGATAAATATAAAAATGTGCTATATTTTTCCAAAGTTATACATTTTTATGAAAAAAAGAGAAATAATAAAATTTCAGATGGTAAACGCATTTGTGTACATGTGTTGTTTTTATGTATAAGATGACATATGTGAATCAGTAAAAACACTGTAATTTATAACTAATATAATTGCTTTTAGAGTGGAATGATAATGTTAGCTTCTTAGCATTTTCTTAGTTAAGAAATATTTGATGTTTAGGCCTTTATTATGAGGGAAACCTTTATTAACTCTAAAAAGTTATAGAATACCTGTATAAAGGAGATTCCCAAAGTTTTTTGTTAGCCGAACCCCTCCAAACTAAAATATTTACTTGAAGTTAATAATTTAACTATACATTTACATGTTCACAGTTCTCTTATGTTTATGAGTCATATGATATGCAGGTAAACGATTAACTACAACAACGTTTTTTGCAAGTGTTGTATTGTGATTTATTTGATTTTTGATTTTTATGATTAATTGATTATTAGTTATTGAGTTATTTTCATTCACTCACAAATCCCCTGCAGTTCCCTCTCAAACCTCCAGGGGTTCACGAACCCCAGTTTGGGAATCCCTGCTATTAAGCGTTTTCATTCAGAGATTGACGTTACTGTAGAAATGCACTTTTCCTAGTTGGAAAATCAATACATAGACAGTCACTTTGGGTATATATGAAACAGGACCTTTTATTATATATGAAGTTCAAAAAGCAATTCAGCAGCCCATTCATCAAGATAAACCAGAAAATAATGAGTAACTGAAAGATTATGTTAAAAACAAAGACAGGAAAATATAAAACAGTAAAAGTATGAGAGGCTCCAGAGATTATTTTGTATATGTTTATGAAAAAATCCAGAGAATCAGAAGTCCCTTGCTATGTAGAACTTAAATCAGTTTTTTCACACTTGCGTGTTGTCTTTATCTTGTGGAGAATTTGTAGCTGGAGTAGGATGAAGTGTCAACAGTGTCAGTCGAGGCAGCTGGGAGCAGGAGCAGCCCTGTGGTGTGGTCCCTCTTGCACCGAGCCATGGCCTCCTTATACGTGATCTTTTCCTTCTTGATGGGGTCGATCACGTTCTTCACAAAGGCGGAATCATCCTGAAGTTGCTTGGCCATGGATGCGTCGATCAGTTTTGTATCGACGGCATTCTGCATGTCGATGCGACCTGCACGTTTTGGGTCTACCAGTCCGCCAGTCAGCACCTGTGCCTCCATGAACCACACAGCACTGTCGTTGGGGATCCATCCCCTGCGGGCGGCTTCTCCCACTGACATTCGCTCTTTGGACACGGGGTCTTCAAAACCAGTAAAGGCCTTCTGGGCACTGAGGAGTTTGTGAAGCTGGCTCGAATCGATCAATCCACGCTCTGCCGCCTTGTGAATGGAGAGCTTGTCCTTCTTGTTCAGGTCCACAATACCTCCGGTGGCGGCCTGAGCTTCCAGAAGCCTTATAGATGTGTCTTGATCAATCAGTTTGCGCGTTAGGGCACTTCGTACAGACATGCGGCTGTCTGTGGTGACATCTAAGACACCAGAAATTGGGAAGAGCTCATCTCCACTGGCGATTACCAGCGAGTTCAAGTTGCCATTGCTGGAGTAGGATAAGCGGCGTGTCAATGTGGAGGAGTTTGTTGGAGCGAGTGTCTGAACAGTTGTTGTTTGTGTTGTACTTAGAGGAGGGAAGGACTTCGTTTTCTTTTCCCCTGCAACCAGAAGAGCAAACTCTGAAATGGTCATTTTGCCCTCTCTGTAGCGCTGAAGTTCATACTGGGTCAGTCTGCCATTTTGCAGGGCCGTACTGATGGAGTACTGCTTTCCGCTTTTACGATCCTGCAGAAGAGTGGTCTCACCTTCAGGACCGGTGGTTATGATTTCCTCCCAGCTACACTCAAGCTCTTGGAGGTGGATGTACTGATTGCGATCAATCAGACCCTCAAGATAGGCATCATAGGGGGACATGTCCTTGCCGGTCTCTGGGTCCAGAATGGTGATTTTGGTGGAGACGTTGGTCGCTATGGTGTTTGTCTCTGTATGTTGCGCTGCCTTTGCTTGTTTCTGGAGGTCCATGATAGTAATTTCCCGCTGGTTGATAAGCTCTTTCACTTCCAGGATTTCTCTCTCCAGACGCTGGAGCTCAGACTCCAGCTTGATGGTCTTTTGCCTGCTGACTTGGTTCCTCTCACTCAAGAGTTTGGATTGATGTTGGAAAGTTATGGTGATCTCCTGCTTTAGAGACTCCAGTCTTCTCAACTCCTGGAGAAGTTCGTTTTGCTCTTTCTTGATTCTATCCTTGTATACAAACAAGGTGGTCTCTTCTTGAGAGAAATTTGTTCTGGTTGTCTCAATACGAGTTATTTTGTTGTTGAGTCGCAGAAGTTCTTCATCTTTGAGGGCTCTAGCATTCTTCAACTGGGTGAGTTGAGCTGTAAGGTTTTCTCTCTCCGACTCCACCGCTTGGTCCTTCTCAACCCTGATAACCTCTTTGTGGATGACCCTCTCCACAGATTTCTCTTTGGTCAGGGACTCTATCCTGATTTTGAGGTTTCGAATATCTCTCTCCAGGCGGGTAAAGCTGGCACTCTCGTTTTCCAGGGTAGTACGAAGGTCAGTGATTAGTTTGTCGACTGTAGGGTCTCTCTCAACTTTCAAAACCTCCTCTATAACAATCTTTTCCTCAACAGGCGTTGGACAAGTTTCAAGTTCATATATTCTAGCCTTGATTTGTCTCAGCTCTGTCTCTACTAGGATCTTCTTCTGCCGATCCACGAGCTCTAGCTTCTTCTCCAGCTCCAGGACTAGAGATCTCATCTGCTGCACCTCCAGTTCAAACTGCCGACGACCCTTGATGGTCTCTTCCAAAGTCTTGACTAATCTTTCGTGGGCCAGAATCTGACTGGGATCTGTCTGGAGGCGCACAATTTCTTGTACCACAACCCTTTCCTCTGGTTTCTGTCTCTCCAGCACAATATACTTGTTTTGAAGGTCAAACACATTCTCCTCCACTGTTCGACGACGCTGAACTTCCTCACGTACTTCCCTCCTGAGACGTTCAGCTTCCTTCTCCAGAAGAGGGTCATTTTCGTACCTTATCAATTCTTTGGTCACCACTTTGGTCTCCACCTTTGATCTTTCGGCCTTCCACTCATCCCTGTCCTTGCGTAGACGTATCACCCGATTCATAGTGGAGTCATAGTTGGTTCTCAAAATGGTGAGCTGCTCATTCAACCTCTTAATTTCTTTGACAATTTCAGGACTCCTCTCTTCTTTCACCACCTCTCGAGTCATCTCCTTCAGTTCAACCTTGGGCTTCTCGGCACGCAGAGTCTTTAGATCCACCATGATCACGTTGATCTCATTCTCGATGCTAGTACGCCGTTTGCTTATTTCAAGAAGCTCGTTTCTCAGCCGTCTCAGTTCCACTTCTGTCTCAGGGTCAATTCTAAAGATCTCATGGATGATCTCATTAAACTCTGTCTTTTGTTTGATGGTCTCCACTTGGCTGTAGCGGAGCTGAAGGCTGGAGAACTCTTTCATCAAAATACTGTATTCTCGGATGAGCTCTTCCAGGTGTACACGGAGGGTCTTGGACTCCTGTAGGAGATCAGCATCTTGCTCAACCCTTTTCAACTCTTTGATGACAGTTTTCGGTTGTATAGTTGGAATAATCCTCTCCAGATTATTGATCTGACTCCTAATCTGGAATATCTGATCATTCAGGTTCTGGCATCTGATACCCTCATCCGAGATCTCGTTCTTCAAGGTAATCACAGCTTTCTGCATTTCGGGGTCTTTTTCCAGCTTCAAAACCTCTTTCAGGACCACTTTCTCTTTTATTACTGGCCTCTTGGTCTCCAAGACAGTAACTTCCGTTCTCATCTGTACCGTTTCACTCTTGTGCACTCGAATTTCCTCCTTTAGTTTGAGTATGAGCTCCCTGATCCTCGCAGCTTCAACGTCCAATTTGGGATCACGCTCAATTTCTGTAAACACCTTTGTCACCAGCTTGGGCTTCACGTCGATAATCTCTCGTTCATGACTGACCATTTTTTTGTTTACAATCTCAATTTCTGTGTGCAATTGGGATCGTTTATGGAACTCTTCGGTTGTCCTCCTCTTCAATGCTTCCAAGTCTGCCTCCAGCTTCGGATCACGGTAGTAATGCACAGTTTCCTTTTCTTCCACTCGCTCCACACCTCTCCGACTCTTCAGGGACACCATCCGTTTCCTGTAGGTGGCTAAATCATTCTCAGCATGACTGCGGCGAGATATTTCCTCAGCCAGCTCTCGCTTCAGACTGTCAACTTCGTCCATGTCTCTCTGCTGACTTTGCATCTGAAGTTGCTGCCTCACCACCACATGGCTCACAATTTCATCATTCTATTCATGGAATACAAATACAGATTTGTTTAGTTTAAGTTAAGAAGTTCATGGTAGCTGTACACCCTTCAACAACATTTGGCATTAACTTGTTATTTATTCCAATGAGTGTTGCAGCTTTGAAAGTCAGTACCTTGTTGATGAGGTCCTTGGCCAAGATCACTTGATTCAGTTGTTGATTATTCTGTGCTGATACTTCAGAGTAAAGGTTCACAACATCCCTTTCCTAAAAAGTAGCCAATTGTACAGATATTTGGAAATATACATAAACAATAAGTCATTATTATGGTCATTATGGCAAAGCAACCCACCTTCTTCTGCACAGCTTCAGCCAGGGTGATGTAATCTAATATTTTTGTGTTTATTTCTGGTTTTCCCAATGCACTGCGGTATTTGTTTGAATTCAGCTCATACTCCTGAAGACACAGAAGCAACAGACCATTTGCATTCATGCTAGCACTGACATGTGAAATGTGCTGTAGTATGATCATGTTCAAGATGGCCATCGTACGTTAAGAACACCCTGCACTTCACGAGAAAGTTTCACCACACGGTTTACATCATCCTGCTTTCTCTTGATGTCTTCGACTGCTCTCTGCAACCAAAAACAAATTTACATCCAATGTAAATGTAACATATCTGAGATATTTAAGTGTGATGCATGTCATTTCCATGCAACTAGTGGCACTAAACAGAATTCGCAAAAAACAAACTTTCCTAATTTTCCTAATAGCTTAGTTATAGTTGTTTACACATCAAAAATATTTAAGATAATATTAATAGTAATAAAAAAATAATCAAAATCAACCGTTTTAAAACCGTGCCAATAAAACTTAATACTGACCATCTGAGAGTTTTGCTTGGCATAGATTTGTGACATACTTTCACCAGGCCGAACTTCGTTATTGGGCATATTGATTAGGAAAGCAGTGAGTGACTGGATGGCACTGTTAAATTCCTGATTTTTATTGACAGCCTCTTGCAACAGAGTCGCCCTGTGAAGTAAAAAGTTTATGGTAGAGTTCAAAAGTCTGTAGCATTATAAAAAAAGCAGATTTGCCTCAGTAAACAAAAAAAGATGTCAACATAAACAATAAAAGGCCTCTTTATAACACTTCACCTTTGCTGCAGCTGGCTGTTGATGTTAGAGTAACGATTCCTCAAGCGCCTGACCTCAGTCTCTTGGTGGCGGATATCAGGGCAATACTCCTGGAAGCTCTTCTGCAGGGAGCTACATGCCTGCTCTGTGACTTCCAGCTCACGGTTCAACTGCTGGATGTCATCTTTCTTGGATGCAACCTCTTTACTCATGGTCTAAAGAGAAAACAAATACAGACATACAGAAACATCATTACATTGTTTGAATGGGAAGTTGTGCCATATCAAAACCATTCCTGCTTTTATTTCAACATTAAGGCCCTGTTTACCCTAGTGCATTTTCTTTTTAAAACGGCGTTTTAAAATGAAAACGATCCTCGTCTACACTGGCATTTTCACTGCCTTTCAGAAACGATCTCCGTCCACACTACACAACTGAAAATGCATGTCACATGATCATTCATGCAGGTACAACAATGAGCATGATGTTATTGTTTACACGGTCATCAAGGATACACAGAGCGAATGTGGGCAGCCATGCCATCGTTTTCAAAAGTCTCCGTTTTGGTCCATTTACACTGAAATGCAACCCCAGAGTTTTCATACTAAAAAAGGGTCAGCTGCGTTTTTGAAAGTCTCCGTTTTCAAGGGTCAAAAATGCCAGAGTAGTGTAAACGACAGGCGTAACTCTATCAAGTTATGCGTTTTAAAATGAAAACGCACCAGTGTAAACGTAGCCTAAATCTAAGATATTTAGTTAATGACTGGTAAATTGGTGTGTTTCTTTCATAAGGCTACTGTTCAAATGTTTGGGGTCAGTTTTTTTAAAGAAGTCTCTTTTGCTCACCAAAGCTGCATTTATTTGTTCAAAACACAGTAAAAACTGTATTATTGTGAAATATTATTACATATTCAGTGTCACATGATCCTTCAGAAATCATTCTAATATGCTGATTTTATATGAATAATTAATATGAAACATTTCTGATTATTATCAATGTTGAAAACATAGTTGTGCTGCTTCATATTTTTGTGGAAACTGATACATTTTATCTTCAGGATTTTGGATCAATTTAATGCAGCCTTTTTAAAACAATTATAAATAAATAAACAAATTATTTATTTATTTATTTTTAAATCACAGTGATCCCACACTGACTACTTTAAAGGTACTTTATTTTTTTTAAAATAATTTAAATTTCATTCATGTATATTTAAAGGGATAGTTCACCCAAAAATGAAAATTACCCCATGATTTACTCACCTTCAAGCCACCCCAGGTGTATATGACATTCTTCTTTCAGACGAATACAATCGGAGTTTCCCTACGTCTTACGTCATCCGCTGGACGCCTCTCTCTCGGGAATGCACGTACGACAGTTAGCAGAAGTTAGAGATTAAGGTTTATAAAGTTGTAAATATGGATATTTTTCTTACACAAACGCATCGCTTCAGGAGGCCTTTATTAACCCCCTGGAGCCATGTGGACTTCTTTTATAATGGATTGGTTCAGTTTTTTGGACTTCAAATTTTGGGCTACCATCCACTCCCATTATAAAGCTTGGAAGAGCCAGGATGTTTTTTAATATAACTCCGATTGTATTCGTCTGAAAGAAGAAAGTCATATACATCTAGGATGGCTTGAGGGTAAGTACATTTTTGGGTGAACTATCCCTTTAAGAATGTAAATGATGTCAGAATTTCTTTATGTCTGTTTTTGGCTGAAATATCCCTATAATATTATAGATAAAGACTCATATCAGCATTGTGTTTGTATAATAAGTGTCTACCTGCAGCTGTTTGGAGTGGTTGCGGATGGTGTTGGGCTCATCTAAGATGCCAGTGTCTGCAGCCAACTGATCCTCGAACGCCGTCAGCATGTTGTCCACCTTCTTGATCTGTTTCTCCAGGAACATGGAAGATGTGGCCCTGAGGAAATAATCCCATTTTTGGGATTATACTTTTTGGGGTCATACTTTTACCATAGTATGACCCCAAAATCCATAGTAATACCACAGTACTTTATGAAGCCTTGCTTGTATGATTTGCCACAGGCATGCTTTCTTACTTCTTGTTGTAGAGATCAGAGAGGGCGGTGATGTCGTCAATCTTGTTGCTGACTTTGCTCAGTTTCAGCGGCAGCGAGGACGTGGTGGGCCCCAGGGGTTTCTGGGATATCAGGGGCTCCATTTCCCTTTGAGCCGATGCTTTCTCAGCCTCCAGTTTCTTCAGAATCATGACAAAACTCTGTAGAGATCAAACCAAAGTGGAAGTCACTCAATGTTTTATACTAACTATAGTATCCAGCATTTGTTTCTTCTTTGACCAATTAAATAATCACATTTAGACTATTTTGGTTTTGTTTCCCACTCTTACATCCTGGTCTTTATTTCTGGCGGTCAGATCTCCGATGGGTGCAGCGCGATTTAATGGAGACCTCATTCGGGTCTGGATGTCCTTCTCTAACTTCAGCAGGTCTGAATAGATCTGTTCCAGCCGGCCGTCAATGAGGCCGGCCTTCGCGCTGTCGGGAACGGTGGCCACAGCGACTGCCGGGACAGATAACATCATTTACGACTCAAATTTAATATGATACCTCAACCTCAGGCCATCCAAGATGTAGATGAGTTTGTTTCTTCATCAGATTTGGAGAAATGTAGCATTGCATCAGTTGCTCAGCAATGGATCCTCTGCAGTGAATGGGTGCCGTCAGAATGAGAGTCCAAACAGCTGATAAATATATCACAATAATCCAGAAGTAATCCACACCACTACAGTCCATCAGTTAAAATTGTAAAAATCTGCATGCTTGAGAGAAACAAATCCAGCATTAAGGAGTTTTTAACTTCAAACTGTCGATTCCGGCTAAAATACGAGTCCATAATCTATAATAACGCTTCCTCCAGTGATAAAGGTCATCTCCTGTTGTCTCTCACATCAAAATCCCCCCACATATTTGTTCAGATCTGTTTTGGACTGGTTTGGCTTGTAAATTGTGCTTGATCTGTGCAGATTTCTCTCCTGATTCAGACCAGGTGACTTTTTCACTAGAGAAACCAATATTATGGATAGAGGACTTTACCTGGATTTTACCTGTAAGCATCATTTTGAAGTTAAAACGTCTTACTTATGGATTTGTTTCTTACAAACACACAGCTTTTCACTTCACAAGACATTAACTGATGGACTGGAGTGGTGTGGATTATTGTGATGTTTTTATCAGCTGTTTGGACTCTCATTCTGACGGCACCCATTCACTGCAGAGGATCCATTGCTGAGCAACTGATGCAATGCTACATTTCTCCAAATCTGATGAAGAAACAAACTCATCTACATCTTGGAGCACATTTTCAGAAAAGGTTCTTTTTTGAGTGAACTATTCTTTTAACTAAAGCTAAAACCATAAAAAAAACATTTTGTTAACTTGAAATGAAATAAACATTAACTGAAATAAACTTAATGAAAATGTGAAATGCTGCCTTATATTGTTTTTATATTTTCAGTCGAAGTACTAAAACAACTAAAACTAAATAAACTTTTTATAAAAGTTTATAACTATTCAGTCATATTTTTTTTTTAAAAAGACAAAAAACAAAATTAATAAAACTTTAACTGATAAATATATTAAAAAAAAGAAAAGAAAATGTCTTAAAAAAAACTATAATAGTATATCAGACCCTGTTTTACGAACTGCATGACTTCCACGGTCGGTGTCTTGGCCTGGGCCTGTAGAGCTGACCTCGTCCTCTTCAGATCGGAGAAATCCCTGCTCAGACTGAATACAAGACAAAAAACACAGGAAGGTTAAAACAGGAAGCAGCTGGAAGAACTACACCTGCACTTCCTGCGTCTCAGGAGCTTTCTTACCTGTCCACCTTGTTGATGGCGGCTGAATCGGGCGGAGGGATGAGGAAGCAGACTCCTGGGATGAGCTTGGTCTCTCCCGTGCTGGATTTCACCTCCCAGATCTCCTCTCTGGGATCAGAGACCAGCATGACCTTGTCGCCTCTTTTCACAGAGTCCTGCAGCAGAGAAACGTTTAGCACGCTTCATCCTCCACTGATGGCCTTTCCAAATCTTTTGTAACATCATAAATGTCTTTACCATCTCTTTTGATCAATTTAATGCATGCTTGCTGAATACAAGTATTAATTTCAGTCAGAAAAGGACGTTACCTTCTCAGTGCTCCAGTCACACAGGGCGATGGTGCTGATGGGTTTGTCTGTGGTGCTCCGGCGCAGGTGTAGAGGGGCGATGTTGGTGCAAAGCTCTCTCAGATCCGCCAGACGCTGCTCGTTCCTCATGACGGACCTCTCCTCGCCCTGCACACAAACACACACTTATTTATTATACTGAATTATTAATATATTGCAGTGTGTGTGTGTGTGTGTGTGTGTGTGTGTGTGTTTGACCTCCAGCGTCAGCAGGATCTCAGGGTTGCTCATGTTGTTCAGCACTGACGGTTCGGTCGCGGATTTGATTCTCTTCAGCGACTCAGTGAACGTCTCCAAATCCAGCTGATACTGAGATTAAAACACACATGCAATCGTTTCAGTAAACGCTCATCTGAATCTCCTGCTTCTCATGTCATGTGTGTGTGTGTGATTGCGTACTTTCTTGTATGCCTCCACGTTGTCCAGGTGTGTGTCCTGACACAGACACAGATTCAGGAATCGCTGCCACTCTCTCGACACGTCTGCGCTGTACGACTGAAACACACACACACGTGAAATCACCTTCATTCAGCGAATCAAAGACAGCAAGACTCACTCAGAGCCAGTCAGGGTTTGAATGAATCAACGAACAAATGAGGAAATGACAAATAAATGAACAAATTCATGAAATAACACAAGAAAACAAATACACAATGAATAAATGTGTTAGTAACTGAATAATTAAACTGTGAAGCGAATGAATGATTAAATAAATAAGTGAATGAATTAACATAAATGACCAAACAAATGAATGAAAAACTAATTAATTAGTGAGGGAATAACTGAATGAACTGACAAGCAAATGAATGAACAAATGATTCAATAAATAAACGAACTAATGAATGAACTGGAAAAAATGATTGTTTGAGTTAATAAAGTTAATAAATAAACGAGTAAGTGAATAAACAAATAAATAAATGAGTGTGTGTGAATGAACACATGAACCAACAAATGGTCAAAGGAAAAACAAATGAACATTATTAAATAAATGATCCAAGGAATGAACAAAAAAATGAACAAACCAACAATTTATGAATAAATGTGTTAGTGACTGAATTAATAAACTGTCAAACAAATGAATGATTAAATAAATAAGTTGATGAATGCACAAATAAATGAACAAATTAATGAACAAACACAAATGAATAATGAATCGATGTGTTAGTGATGGAATGAACAAATCAATTAACAAACAAAATGAACAAAACAAATGAACAAATGAATAATAAATAAATGTGTGAATAAATGATCAAATAAACAAAACAAATGAATTGACATAAATTATTGTATAATGCATTAATATGTTAGTGAGGGAAATAAAAAATGAATGAACTGACAAATGCATGAACGCATGATTAAATAAATATATGAGTGAATCAATTAACCAAAAATAAACAATTTAATGAATGAATAAACAAATAAATGAACAATTAATTAACGGTTAGTGAGGGAATGAATAAATGAATGAACTGTAAAAAAAATAAACAATAATAATAAATGAATACGTAATAAAAAATATTAAATGAATAGATGAACTTGTAAGCGAGCTAGTGAATGATTGATTGAATGAATGAATGAACAACTAACAACAAATGGATAAACAAAAACTGAATAAATGAACAAATCACTGAATGACTGAATGAATGAATCTGACTGACTGAATGAATGAATGAATGAATGAATCTGACTGACTGACTGAATGAATGAATCTGACTGACTGACTGAATCTCTGACTGACTGAACGAACGAACGAACGAACGAATGAATCTCTGACTGACTGACTGACTGACTGACTGACTGACTGAATGAATGAATGAATGAATGAATGAATGAACGAACGAATGAACGAATGAATGAATCTCTTACTGACTGACTTAATGAATGAATGAATGAATGAATCTGACTGACTGACTGACTGACTGAATGAATGAACGAATTAATGAATGAATGCATCTCTGACTGACTGACTGACTGACTGAATGAATGAATGAACGAACAAATGAACGAATTAATGAATCTCTGACTGACTGACTGAATGAATGAATGAATGAATGAACAAATGAAAGAACGAATGAATGAATCTCTGACTGACTGAATGAATGAATGAACGAACAAATGAACGAATGAATGAATGAATGAATGAATACCTTAACAGCAGATGATCCGGGGTGTTTGTCCTCAATGAGCACACTGGCGTCCTCCTGTAGTTTGCTCACTTCCCTCTCGTGTGACAGCAGACCGTTGTTCTTAAATCTCTGAAACACATACATAAAAATCATTCATATAAAGACTATCATATAAATATCAAGAAAAATATTCTGAAGAATGTTGGTAATCAAATAGCTGACGGTAGCCATTGACTTCCATAGTATGGATAAAGAAAATACTATCAAAGTCAATGGAGACCAGAAACTGTTTGGTTGCCAACATTCTTCAAAGTATCTTCTTTTTGTGTTCAGCGGGAGAATAAAACTCATACAGGTTTGAAACAACTTGAGAGTGAGTAAATAATGACAGAATTGTGATTTTTGGGTGAACTGTCGCTTTAAATGATGAGCTTGAGCTGTGCCTCACCTCGTAGTCCATGCGCACCCCGGCGCTGTCGATCATGCGCTCGCTCCAGTCTCTGCTGATGATCTTGTGCTGCTGTTCACTCAGATAGAGCAGCTCTTTACTGCAGCTGTGCATGAACTCATAGAGAGACGCCAGATGCTGCCGGCGCTGCTCACTCGCCTCCTACACAACAACACACACTCACTTCAGCTGCACAGAGCTGCACTTTATATAGCATTAATGTAAACCTTTGTCATTTGTAAACATGATCAGATTTCAGAAAGTCTTACCAGTAGATCTGCATACTGCTTCTGAAGAGCGGATGAGTTATCCTGTTAGGAAAGAAAAATGTCAAAGTTGAAGTCCACTGTATATTAGTAAATAATATTAAAACTATAACATAATACTGTAACATAACTTTTAGAATGTTATTAAGTTATAGGTTGATAAAGTTGCATAAAATTGTACTTGACCAAAAAAAAAAAAAAATAGGCAATAATGCAATTAACATTAGTTAAAATAAACTAATAAAACACCACACTTCTACAGCACTTTAATCTTAATGTAAAGATAAATATTTAATTTATCTTTATTCATTAAATCATTTACTAATACATTTTTAAAATCTGTTAACGTTAGTTAATTCGCTAACATTGAACAAACAATTCACAATTGTATTTTTATTGACTAACATTATCAAAGTCTAATAAATGCTTTTAAAATATATATTGCTCAGTGTTCGTTCATTTCGGCTGATGCATTAACTAATGTTAACAAATGAAACATTATTATAAAGTGTGAAATATAAAAACAAAACTGTAAAAACAATGCTGACAATGAAATTATCCTATTTTATTCTAAAATGATTCTACAAGCACTCAATTGAAAGGGGAAAAAAAAGAATAAAAATGAATTAAATGAGTGTTATACTAAAGGCACTTGGTTCTCATTCTCTGAAATCAGTAAAATGAATCTGATTTGCACAGTGCTAGTAAAAGTGTGTGTGTGTGTGTGTGTGACTGACGCCACTGCTCTCCAGGGCCGAGCGATACGCCTCCATCTGTTTATGCAGGATGTTATGGGCTGCGATCTGTTTCTCCACATCAGACAGAGTCGGACCGTAAACATCTCCCTGAATCAGCTTCTGAAACACACACACACAAATAAAGCTTCTTCAGATGCTCTTGGCTTCCGTAATGTCTCTTGAGCTGTTTGGAGATGAATAGAGCTCTTGGTGTTTCATGAAAGCTTCTTCAGATCTGTGTTTTGGTTTCTGGGTGCTTTAAAGCAGTTTTCGATCTTTTAGATGCCATGAACCCCCAAACATGAGGCAGATATATTATCTTCTGTATAAAGACCCAATCTTAGGTTTGAAAAAATGATATTATAAATACTCCTAAAATATTATTTGGAAAATATTTAGTTACAACTATATTTTTTTTAGTTATTATATTACTTTAGTTGTATTACTTTTTTTCTATTATAGAACTT